CTCTCATACCTTATAATTATATCTCATACCTTATAATTATGTATTATGGGAGTCGATACTATTTATAAATATATCTAATTTTTTTTAGAATTCGGCAAATGTTATTGTATATGTAACAAAACATTCAGTATCATCCTCAAATATTACATTTTTTTTATAAGGTTTACAAATAAAATATTTTGCTACTATTCTATACTGTTAAACATACAATAATAGCGATGCAATAAATTTGTGTTACAATGTGAATTTTTATACTACTAATTAAGTCGTCATCACTAGAATATTTTTGTAGCATTTGTTATAGATCAATTGTAACGAAAAGGTAATATTATTCTTACAGTTTTATATATAACAAAGACAAGGAGTAACAACTCTTCAATGATGTAAAACGTATTGTACAAAACAGTTCTTATGCTATAAATACATAACATTCTAGTTATATTAATTGTTTTGTTATACATTTGAATAAACGTTTTACATGAAACATATACAGGGTGTCTGTTTCGCCTGATAATCCAGAATATCTCAAAAACTACGAAAGATAGCGAGAGGATATTGTTACAAAAGTTGTTTAACTTTATACGGCTGATTACGTGGTTTTAATAGTTTTTGCGTGGGTATAGTTAATTTTTTTTTAATGGAACAGTAATGAGACTGTGCTATCTGCTCTCAGAATAATAACAAATAATATGATCTTGAATTTGTATCGGGAAACGTTTACAGATTATAAATAAAAAAAAAAACCTACTATTCCATTAAAAAAAAATGAACTTGACCTGAAAATCTCGACGATAATTACACGCACTTAATTAGCTATCAAAACCATGTGATCTGCCCTATCGAATCAAACAACTTATGTAAGAACATTTTTTCACTAATCTTTTCCGAGATAGTGAAAATTTTAATTTCCGAGATAGTCAGGATTTCCAGATAAAACCGGCACTCTGTATATACCACCACATTTAACAGAAATATAAAGTGCTGAATTATGTAATAAAATAAGTAACATTTTTTAGTGTAATAAATGTGAACTTTTTATCAAATATACGTAAAAAACATATTCGGTTTCGTCGCAAAATTGGACTATATTAAATTTTTAATTATATGAGCAATATAATCTGATTAATTTAGATTAAATTTATAATATTATTGTATCGATTTTTCATTATCACAGATTGTTTTAGTAGGCCTACCGTCAAGAATTAAACCCTGAGGCCTACAATGGACTAGTAAATTTTAATAAAATCTATTTGAATTCCATACTAAATGTGCAGATAAACATCACGATTCTAATGTTGGGAAGAGTCTCGTTAGCACAAAATAAGCTACATCATAGTTACTCCAATATGTTGTATGTGCTGCGACTGTGTACAGATAATTTCGTCCCAAACTTGCTCGAAGTACATAATCTAACCGTTGTGCTAATTCTATTAACCATAAAAAAATGTTTTTCATTAGTTCGTTATATAAGCAATGATATTATTTTAAAAATTTTTAGTTCTAAAGACTATTAATAATATAATAGTAACTATATACATACCTTGACCTGGTTGAATTGGAATAGATGCATCTTCTTTAGCATTCCAGCCTGCTCGTACTAAACCCCAAAGACTCCAACCTTTGTCCGAAGTACGATTAGACATATCTGGGCTCTCATCTCTTTCATCCGTTTCTGTAACAACATATTTTTACATTGTTTACATACATCTTCAAAATTTATTATCGTTTTAAAGAATGTCTGATATACCTGTGGGGGAGAAAGCTTGATCAGCACCACTTATTGACGGAGGCGACTGTTCCATCTGTTGACCTTCAACGCCTCCGTAAGATGGGATAAGAACTGGTTCAATTTTGCTATAGCCTCTCTCTAAGAGTGGTTCCATTCTGTAAGCTACAGGATCAGACCAATGAAATATATTGTAAAATCTTTTACATAAATCTTGAGGCATCACATCGGTTCTATTGGATGGAGAACGAGTCCGTAATGCAAGGAACACAGATAAGGGTGAACCCAAACAAAATAAATTTTCAATCTGCAATTATGAAAATAATTAGAATTTATAGTATTTAGAGATATGTTAAATATGCAAAAGTAATTATATTTACTGGAAATTGTAATCGTTGCAGTAATACTTCTTGTGTTTCTGGGGACGGGGGCCTTGTATCTGGACCCATCCAGCCTGTGACAATATCATAAACAATTACACATCCTAAGGAATGTGCTAAGATTGAAACTTTGCCTTTCCAACCTGGATGTCGACTAGCGAACATAAAATATAGTCTGTTCAATTCTTTCTGTAAACCCGCTCTTACTTCTCCGCCATAAAGAGGACTAGTATAATAAAGTATATCCATTGCTGATGAATTTAACAAATGCCGTATGCTTAGTACGCTATAAGGTGTAATAGCTTCTACAATATCTAAAAAAAATATTTACAAAATGCAAGATTAATATTGTCTACCTGGTAAATGTAGCGAATAATTTTACCTCCATCAAGCTTCAAAGAGGATCGCCATTCAACAGGAAAAAATTCAACTCTATAATTGGAGCTGGGGAAATATTTTTGTTTTAACCAGTCCACGCAGTCTCTGAATCTGTATAAATATTATATTGAATATATAAAAATCTGCATATAATTATAAATTAAAATTAATTATAAATTAAATTGTGTACATACGATGTTGTATTACGAATAATTTTTCCTGTGTCCCTTTTTTGACCAATTCCATGAACTACGAACACTATGTGATCAATATCGTGAGGTTTATCCTCCATTACTGCAGCAACTTTGTAACCTCTGCGTAATTGATAGCCCGTTGCTAAAAGATTCAATACAAATAATACGTAATCTTATTTCGTTTCATTCTTACCAAGAATATAAATTAAAGTACATACTTTTTGCAAATCCCAGTTTCGACGTGACACTACGCATTAATTTACTATGTCTATATTCGCTATGTAATACAACATCATCTATACTATGCCAATCAACATGAAATTCGGGAAAATGTTCTGTGTGTAATACTGAAATTAACATATTTTATTAAAAAGTATTTGATAGAAAACTGAAATAATATAATTCACTTTGAATAAACAGTAATGCATAAAATTTTTTAAAAATCTATACTTTTATAAGGATGAGGTATATCAGATGCTGAAGTAGATTGACTTGAAAGTTGTTTTTGAAAAAGATTTAGATGAACTTCTTCTATAATTTTAGATTGTCCCGATTCTAAAGGTATCCAGGTACCATCGTAATACCAAGTACCTCTCATAATTTCCCATTCTTCCCCTTTTGAAAATAAAAATTAGTGATTATATATAATAATTACAAAATAGTAAACAAGCAAACTGTTTAATGAACATTTTTATGTATTAGAGTTTTTATAAAACAAAATACATAAAGTACGAATAATAAATACACAACCATACCTGGACAATATATAGAAACACATTTCATTTTGTCAATTTCCACATCGTACATGCCTCCTTTAACTACGATCTTTTCTATGTGAGGTAAATTATTCAACGCATCGTTATTCTTATTAAGTAAATCCTGATAATTTTGCCAAGCATTTTCAATTCTTAAACTGTCGTATCCGCAAAATTCTACCCATCTTTTGTCTACGCCGTCTCTATAAAACCAGCGTATTTGCATCGGTGTCAATGGTTCTGCGTATGTTAAAATGTTCGCCGTGCCTTCCCTTTCAACCATGGAATTTTGTTCTGCGGTAACTTCTGCAGCTTCTTAAAACATTAAAAATTAACATTTTCATTATAGACAATATTGTAACAAGTAATACAGGCATTAAACATTACGTAACACTACATTTTTATTATGCGTTAACATTTAATCTTCAAAATAGAAAAATTCATTATAATTTTAAGGAGTCTCTGAGTTATAAATGTCACTTTAAAATTCGCGCGCATTTAATTAAATATTACAGCACACAAATTGTGCACTATAAACTCATACAATATAATATTATTGAATTCTTACACGTTTAATTTTTATTTATATATTGCCCGAGATATCCGCACACGCACGATATATGCATTACGAACGTTTTAAACATATGGTTTGCTTCGTATTTGAAAATGTAAATTGGAAGAATCGATTATCTCAAACAAGTCTGAGCTTGCACATAAATAATGCTTAGACTAATTGCTGAAAAAAAAATTTTAAATTACATTCACAATCTTACCTTCGAACTGCTGTAGTTCTAAAGGCGTTTCGCTGAAAGGATCAACTTCGTTTCGGCTATTAGACATCCTGTCAACGTGTAATTGTCAATAAATATAAATACCTTTCAGCCTGGCGTGATCACCGAAAAGGAAAACACGTTACAAGCCAGAAAAATGATAGGCAATTCGTGACAAGTGTTCGGAAATCGTAGCTGTTATCAAAATAAGCGTCAACCACTAACACACATGTTTGTCACTAATGCAAATTATTATTATCACGTAGTATCCATTAGTCAGTTTAAAATATCACTTTAGGTTCGTATGTAGCAACAATGTAGGCAACCGTCGTTTCTGTGGTTAAAGTAATAGAAAATCAGCGAACAATTCGATGTATATAACGACGGGAACTATTAATGAACGGAATTGTTCTCCGCAGTAGTTGCAACGTTATCTAAAATCTGATATAGAATTCCTCCTTCGCGACGTATCGTTCAATTCGAACTATGTATACATACATATCTTGTACAACTGTACTCGCTATTTTCCTGTGCAGCAAGCTGCTGCATTCATCAATAAGCAGCTGATATTCAAACGCAATGCGTAAAATAGTATGTACACGGATATGAACAGTTTTACGTGTATAGGTTTATAGATATTATGTGCTTGCACACTATTGCGTATACATACATAAGTGTACGAACGTGTGTACATATTGCAATATATGTATATGCCTGAGGGTATATGCATATATCGGCAGGTAATTGAACATAATTCCAAGCGTACATAAAATGAATCATGTGAGATCAGTTTGTAGAGTTCTCTGAATATAACATATATATATATATATATATTAAACGTAGTACGATTGTTTTTTTATGCTGCAGAAAAATTCTACAAAATTTATGTCAATAAATTTATTTTTTTATAAATGTATAGAAGGAATCAAAATAGAATAACGCAAAATTAGGAGTACGTTATTCAACATATACATCTTATATATACATTTGTTTAGTCAAACTCAAACGTGGATGTTCTTGTGAACCCTCTAAATAATCTACATATGTATATAACAGAATCTATGTATGGGCTCAGTATTAGTAAATATAAAGTATAAATGAATTTTCTCGTTTTAAATTATATTTATAATAGCAGAATTTTCTTTCTGATAATATATCGAATCTTTTTATCGTGAAACTGAATTCTAGAAGCAGAAACTATAATTTCTGTTTCGCAAAATTATCTTCAATGTTAAAAGAATTCAAAACTATGTATAAACATTAAATGAACAATGAACATTAAATTATAAATTTTACAGGTGCGAAACTCCGTAACGACGCGATAAGCAGAGCAACAATGTTACCGACATATTATGGGTTCACGTTCCTCAAGATTTCGTCCTTATACGAGAATATTATTCGCTGGAGCGCGCCGTGGTTATGACGAGATTATGCGGATATTTAGTAACATAAGCATTAGAAGGTAAACCAAAAATTGAGCCATGGAATCCAAGCATTTTTATGCCACTGGACGAGTTTTCTGGATGAAATCAATGACCATGTCTTTGAATTTTTGCCCTTTCGAATGACTCATTTTATGTACCACGGAGACTTCTAACTTTCTAAGTCCGTGTATAGTATATATATATATATATATATATATATATATATATATATATACATATGCATCTGAATCATGGATCTGGATTTCGAGTGTGCGACATCGTGTATAAATAACAAACAATAACGAAAATTTATTCTATATTAATAACAATATTCAACACGTGGAAAACTGAACGAAGTACTCGAATCGAGGTTATGAGACGCACTGTTTATCATTCGGGAGCGAGGCAACGAATAAACAGCGTCGGAAAACATGGCGTCTCGGGTCGAAACGTCGGAAGTACTACATGCATTACATAGCGACTGAGCCGAGGCGCTCACGCAAAATGAACGAAGCAGAGTTTTGACGTACAATGGCGGACACCCCCTCCCCCATTCCTGAGCAGACATCGCCTCTCTCACTGACACGAGGACTTTATATTCCGTCCTAAGTCCGTGGCTGTACATACGACTGTTTTACCCACTTAGTTACACATATATGTATACATACATTAGTATATGTATATATATGTATTTACAATGTACGTATGTATGTATACAAAAGCGAGCACAGAGCATTCTTACAGCATATACAAATGTCGACATCAGCGTTTCTCGCGAGCCAATTCAGAAGCTTACTGTGACTAATATTTTGTCAAAATTGCCTAATTACATAATGGTTACGACAGAAGTCTTTGTAAGGAATTTCTGTAGCCGAATCTTTGACATCAAGTGAATTCGTTAGGTTGAAAATCTTTGAACAAAATTGAGATAAATGCATACGGTACGTTTGAAATCGCAGTGTACACCACAGAACATTATAGCGCAGATGGGAATGTCGTCTTTCATAGTGTTTCTCGCAAGATAAAAGTGAGAAGTGGGATGGATAACTACATGCTTTGTTCGATGGTGTATGTAATGTATGGTGTGTTGTTTGTAAAAGGATAGATAATTTTGTTTAAAAAAACAAGGTTGAATGTTTTGGATATGTCGCATTTGGTATGTACACAAGTATTGATAAAGTAGTTTTTCTCTCTCTCTCTTTGTTGCAGTTTGTTTTAATTTGATTATATTTACCGCAACTACCATGAAGTTTTCCTTAATGAATTTTTCTGAATCAGTTGTTTTCAATGTTTATGTAAATTTAAACGAATTAATGACAGGCACGATTATCGTTACATATGAAAACAAATTTACTTAATACTAAAACTGCCGGACAGGTTAAAATGACA